TTAACTGAGACCTATGAGATTTGATTATAAGTAAACAGAAAGTACTAATGGTAAAAAAGTGGTCACATAAAAGTAAAAGTATTAAAGCAACACAAATAAAGCAAGTAAACTGGTCCAAAAACTGATCCCTGGGGAGATCTTTTAAACAGATTTTAAAAATGTATGAATGAATGAGTAAATAAAAAAATTATTTAAATAAAATTAATATATTAATATGTCTTATCTTTTTAATTTTGTATTAGCTAAGACAATCTGTTGATTTCGTTTGCATTTAAACTTATGTCATTCTTTGTATTCCTTTGATGAACAAATGCTGATACAGTTCTGAAAAACTTGTCCCCCGTACACTTCCAAATATAACTTGTAATTCCATAAACTCAACAGAATTCCTTGTAAATCTGCTTCTTAGCTCTTCCAAAGCTTGACGTCACAGTTTTCCCTTTAGTGTAGGTGGTTTAGGCTCTTCCCACAGACTCTGGTGCTATGGTCTAAATACTGGTTTGAGTGAAGAGTGTCTTTCACCTTGACGCGTCCCTCCCCCAGCGCCATTACTGCCTGTTTCATGTGTACACAGCTCCACAAAGGTCTGCGTCTATAGGTGTGGTCCCGTCCTGCCTTTCACTTCACAAATGACAGATAACTCTCCATACATCAACAGGATCTCAGGCTTAGCTAAATTGAGCGAAATTTGGATTGACAAAAGATCGTTCTGAAGATAGTTATGTGACAAACTAAGATAGAAAACACAAGTGGTGCAGTGATTTTACTCAACTATTCTATAGTTGAAAGGGCCTATTACACTTCTATGGGGTACTAACTGCTAACACATAACAATATTTAGATCACCGTGTCACCTTTCATTGTTTTCAATATCATAAAATATTAGACAGAGTAGACGGCTCCAAAGTTGATTTTGAAAGTTGCAAGTCAATTGGTACACTAAATATGAGAACGATTGTGAGAGGTTAATCTCTTTAATCCTTTTATATACAAAGTACTTTGGGCTGAAAAGGTTAAGTGTTTAACAATAAAGCAATTACGCAGGGAGGCTGTGGGTTCAATTCTCACTACCACCAGGCTGCTTCCCAGAAAGGGATTAGTGAAAGTATTATTTATCATTTTAAATCTTAATAACTACTTCTAGTATAGTGACCCTGGTAAGAGAGCATAGTCATGGCCTAAATATGTATCTCATAAATGACTAATTCATATTTTAAAGGATCAGTGTTGGCTCTAGACTATATTGTACAAACAGAGTTAATTTTTTTCATTTCAACTATCGCTGCTCTGGCCACGTTTTGCTCCTCCACATCTCACTCACACAAATGGATGGTTCCTTGAATGCAATAAACTGCAGATTTTTTAACATCTTCTAACCGTATTATGATGAAAATGCATTTGTGCTCCCTCAGCCAGAGTCGTGACGGCGCTCTGCAGCACGAACGCCCCTGAACGCATCGCGGAGGGCACACACACCATTCACCTTATTCTAACCAAAGCTCATGTGGAAAATGTAGCGTTACCCAAGTGTGAGCAAAAGTTCCAAACACTTCAGAAAATCTCGGAAAGTGGAATTACGGACGACTTATTGTTCATGCTTTAATAACTGTTTTGAACAAGTTGGATTGCGCTAAATTGCAGGTTAGGTTCATGTGCTGTGACTTGGCAAAACATCCAATTGTAGTTTATGTGTCAACTTATTTATTTTGTATATCTGTAGTAGTAGTTATAGATGACCAAAGAAACAAATACGTAAAGGTTATGTTAAATATAGGAGCTACATTAAGTCATGGGTTATAAATAGCTGGAAATGCCGATATGAGAGTAATAGAAGCTGTGTTAGTGAATATTTACAGAGGTATTGTTTCAGTAATGCATATGTTTCTGCGTGTGTAGGTGAAATATGATGCAGTGTCCAAAGAGGATGTCCACTGGCCACTGATAGGCCCGCAGTCTTATGTAATGACCTTGCACGATCGTCACACACACTCGGAACGCACGTTTGAATGGGCTTTTGTTATTTACCACTAAATTAAAGGTGCATTACCTCACTTTTCTGGCGGATGGTCTGTTATCTGTTTGTCTCCACGGATATGCTGATAATTGGTTTATTGTTATACCTAAAAACCTTCTTCAATTTACTGTGATTGGATGACTTATCTTACTTATGACCTGTAACTTTGCCAGGTAGTGTCTCTTGTTTGTTTCTATGGAGATGGATACGTTTAACTCCATGCTGTGGGACATTCCAGGTACAGCAATAACATCTCCAGGAAACAAGAAACTGGTAGACCCTCACATCAGTCACAAGGGTCACAAAGTGCATCTTTAATTCATGTAAAATTATCATATTTTAATGATATTTTGGACTTGTTGTTACTGTAGTTGAGGGACATGAGGACAGATGTTTGTATGAACTGGGGATGAAGAGTGGAGAGAGACATTCAGTTCATCACCAGAGCCAGGAATTGATCTTAGACTTAGACTTAGACAAACTTTATTGATCCACAAGGGAAATTATTATTATGCAGGTGATGTTGAATTTTGCTTCACTAGTTCTCAAAAGTTCAAAATTCTCAGATTATGATAAGACACATCCTTCAGTTAGTGTTCTCCAGGTCTTTGTCGAGCTGGAGGATCTCCCAGTAATGATATTTAAGTCGATGGGGAAAGAAGAAGAAGCAATTCAAAAGCTATGATCTGATAATCAATCTAGAGACGTTCTTTTCATGAAGAAAATTAACTCACTCTACAAACAGTATTTCAAATTAAACTTCAACAGGATGTTTATTGCTGGCTTTGAATCATTTTAGAGTATTTTGAGGCTTAAATCCTCCTGTTCATGTCAACAAGTGCAGATTTCACAGTGGTAAATCTGCTTTTTTGTTGTTTATTTAAGGATCCCCATTAGTCTCTGCGATTGCTCAGACTCATTTTCTTGAGGTCCACTCTCATCATAAAATCACACAAAAACACACTGACCTTACATTAACACAATGAAGAAAACTGGAACATTTTCTCATTTTATTAGATTTTGTCAGACTTACTACTGCAAATAGAGCCCAAAGGAAGTCGTCATTGCATCTTTCCTGGTTTGTTACATCACAAACCAGGAAGATGTTTGGAAACATGCGATTACAAATTCCCAGGCCCAGTTTTCTTCATCTCCATGTCATTGCAGTGTTCCGTTATGTTCATCTCATCAACAATTCCAAACATACCACAGTCAGTTTTCGTCATTTCCCCACTGACACACAACTCTGAGTGCACTGGTACATGTGATTAGAAGAGATGAGGCGACAAATTCCAGATGATTCCAAACAGCACATACATCTGCAGTCTTCATTTTACCACTGAGCACATTTACTTCAGTGGGTTTGATTACAGTCGGTCGGGAACTACACCGGAAGTTGTCATCGCATGTTTTCAAACGTCTTCCTGGCGTGAATAGAGCCTATTACAAGGAAAATGTACTCACTATACAAGCAGTATTTAAAATAAAACTTCAGTGGGATGTTTTTTGATGGCACTGAATAGTTTTGGAGTATTTTCACATTTACTTAAGTGGGTTTGATCACCAGAAGCTGTCATTGCATCTTGACGTGATGTGTGAATAGAACCAATGATGTGATTTAGTGTTCATGTAAGGTCAGTGTGTTTTTGTGTGATTTTATGATGAGAGTGGACCTCAGGAAAATGAGTCTGAGCAATTGCAGAGACTAATGGGGATCCTTAAATAAACAAAAAAAGCAGATTTACCGCTGTGAAACCTGCGCTTGTCGACATGAACAGGAGGATTTAAGCCTCAAAATACTCTAAAATGATTCAACTCCAGCAATAAACATCCTGTTGTAGTTTAATTTGAAATACTGTTTGTAGAGTGAGATAATTTTCCTCATGAAAAGCACGTCTCTGGATCGATTATCAGGCCATAGCTTTTGAATTGCTTCTTCTTCTTTCCCCATCGACTTAAATATCATTACTGGGAGATCCTCCAGCTCGACAAAGACCTGGAGAACACTAACTGAAGGATGTGTCTTATCATAATCTGAGAATTTTGAACTTTTGAGAACTAGTGAAGCAAAATTCAACATCTCCTGCATAATAATAATAATTTCCCTTGTGGATCAATAAAGTTTGTTTAAGTCTAAGATCGATTCCTGGCTCTGCTGATGAACTGAATGTCTCTCTCCACTCTTCATCCCCAGTTCCTACAAACATCTGTCCTCATGTCTCTCAACTACAGTAACAACAAGTCCAAAATATCATTAAAATATGATAATTTTACATGAATTAAAGATGCACTTTGTGACCTTTGTGACTGATGTGAGGGTCTAACAGTTTCTTGTTTCCTGGAGATGTTATTGCTGTACCTGGAATGTCCCACAGCATGGAGTTAAACGTATCCATCTCCATAGAAACAAACAAGAGACACTACCTGGCAAAGTTACAGGTCATAAGTAAGATAAGTCATCCAATCAATAGAGCCTATTACGAAGAAAATTAACTCACTATACAACCAGTATTTAAAACTAAACTTCAATGGGATGTTTATTGGTGGTATAGAATGATTTTAGAGTATTTTGAGACTTAAATCCTCCTTTTCATGTCGCAAGTGCAGATTTCACAGCGGTAAATCAACTGTAACTAATGCAATTTGAATAAAACTATTTTAAACTTACAGTCATCTGCATTGAAATCATTGAGAATGATAAACACTTTGGAGTTTGCTTATGGAATAACCTGGGAAAAAAAATAAACAAAAAAAAGATAGCGGAATGGGGCTGTGACATCATAAGGCATCTCCCTCATCCATCCCCAAATACAGACCCGTGTTTTTTCTGTTTGCCCGTTTGCTCAACGTTGTCTGCCACTCTCCCTTACGTCAGTTTACGCACGCCGGTGCCGCCTCCCGATTGGTCGCCCCGGTCCCGCCCACCCTGTAGGTAACTTGTTCGAAATTCGGGGCGGAGCCGAATCCTGCGCCGCTTTATATTAGGTAGACTTCAATTACACCGAGCCGCTTGTCTCCTCGTCTCCTCAGCCACCGCCGGGGACCTCATTTTCTTTCCCTCTTTTTTTTAGCTTTTAGGAATTTTTTAATCTAATCGCCACAACATGCCCAAAGACAAGGATGACGGCGGATGGAAGAAGTTTTTGTGGAATTCTGACACGGGAGAGTTCCTGGGGCGCACGGGAGGAAGCTGGTGTAAGTAACCAAGGAGGAGAATGAGACTGGCCTCTCCACACACCTGTTAGCTTTTTGCTCCATTTCGGATTGTGCATCGCCCGTTTTACATCTTATTTGCAACCTTCAAGCCTTTATTGCAATATACTTCCAAAATAACGCGCTAGTTGTTAATGCCACATTTTGCTTTTGAAATGATTTAAGGATTTTGGCTTTTTCGTCGAGCGAAGCATCCCTTGGTATGACAACCACTGTTTAAAAATGAATTTGCTAGTTTTATGGCTACGGCACTGTTAAAAACGTGATTAAAAAAACAGTTTGCATGGATTTGTAGGTGAACATTAGAAACTGGATGATAAACATTTAAGATTCAGTGTATTTGGAGTGCATTTCAGAGCGCTGCACCTGCCCTAAGCTTCAGCGTCCTCACCGGCAGTTCTCTTGCTAACTTTACCCATAGTGGAACTTTTCCTGATACAAAACCAAAGTCTTTTATTCCTGACGTGCCAAGGGGTGTATTTGCTTCAACGTAAAGCTTGTTTCGCGAGCAAAATGGGAAGCAAATAGGGTTAAAACTGCATCATGGCTCAAGGTGACTCGAAGGTTAAAAAAGACAGCTTGGAACTGGAGAGAGCCTATCGATCCGTGTCGGGTTCTTGTGATCAGGTGTCGTTGTAATCTAGGCGGAATACCACTGATTAACGCGCTCCGACCTTTCTCCTCTCGTTTGGAGCGAGGAGCGGCCCCAGTGCGCATGTCCTCGCTCCTTCAATGTCACCCTCTCTAGACTTTGACACCTGCGTAAAAGGGGAGAAAATGTTTATGGTTCGGTGTGTGTGCGTCTGTGCCAGCGGAGGGATGTGCGCGTCCTTCTCGGGTCATGGGAAAGTGCTGATGCATCGGGTAGCGTGACATGCGCAGTGGTGGGGTTCACTCAGTGATGTAATAGGTGATTTAAAGTTTCTATAGATTTTTATTGGATAGGGAGTTCCGGTTTGTGTTTCTGGAATTCAATGACACGGTGACCCTTTTGACATTGTGCGTAATTGTGCGTAAAACCTTTGGTCAAGTGCAGTTCTTTGCAGTGGTTTGGGTGGCTTCTTAAATCCACTGGTATGGCCCAGCAAATTATAACATGTTCATTGTCAACTTGGTATCAGAAGTAGGCTTATGTATGAATGATTTATTTACTCCATTTGTGAATGACCTCTAAAGACATTTCTGTAAGGAAGGTGCTCCTTGTACATGCCTGGGACAACCTACCTGCAATGTGAGAGTGCAGACCACCTTTGCATGGAGGTCAATGCTTTTTTCTTCAAATTTTATTTTTAAAAAATCAATATACTTCAAACTCACAGCATCCAATTTCAACTATATTCAAGTCAGTACAATTTTGAAATACTCAATTTGCCTAATTAATGACACAAGTAAAAGTATCTAGTTCCTACTCACCAGCATTACAACAACTTCAATGCCTTCCCCAGAGTTACAAAGGTCTATAGAATCCAATGGAGCTCTAAGCAAGCCTTAAGCATCCATTATTAATTACCGTGCTTCTTACCTGTAACTGTATCCATGTGTGTCTTTCCTCCTGACTCTGGTTCTTACTCACAAGTACATTCTTCGGAGCGGGTTAAGACAATGGGCGCCACTGTTCCGCTCAATGTGAATGCTGCCTTTGTGGTTCCTTGTGTCACATGCACTGACGACCTATTCCGATGCATTGTGTCTTCATGTCCTTGAAGATGGGAACAGGCACTTAGTAGTAGAACAACTAGAGCATTTATTCAGCCATGTTAATGTGTGGGCTATTACTGGAACAAACCCATTGACTGTGGATATTCTTTTAAACAGTCAGTTGTCTTTAAAAGCATTCATTCATATATATATTTTTTAATATATATTTATTTTCAGAAATTTCATTTAAATCCAAAGTTTTACGTTCTGTCTGCGACTATATTATTAACTAATCATCCAAACTGAAATGGTAAAATATTGCTAAAATAGTTGAAATGTTCATTTAGGAACTATTTTTCAGTATTTTGTATTTGTTTGTTTGCAGTCTGGAACTCAGACCTCCACCAAGGCATTGCTCTTCTCACAATTATTTAGTTTGCTAGCTCCAGATAAGCTCAGGGATAAATGCTGGACAAAATTTTAAAACTAGAATTTGTTTGGTAACATCTTCCTTGTGGTATAACTTCTGCTTAACAAATTCTCATCTTACACCATTTTAAAATTCAAATGTGATCCATTTCTTATAGAGCTAACTCACAAGCAGAGCAAAACAGTCAAAAGCTTCAGTGTGTTGAAAAACCAACTGTTTATCCTTAAGTCCATTAAGTGGCCTTGTATCTCGTCAGAGTGAATCCTGCCGACCAACTCAGCTCTTTATGGGCCTCATAAACCAATAAAAGCTGATTGTATTGGACAGTAGTGCGCCCTTTTGAACAGGGCATCGCCCCTCAATCGCCTCATGTGTCTTTGAACTGCTCCGATGAATAACTAATGTCCTGTATTCCTGTTACAGTAACCTTAAACCCAACTGTAAACTCCTGTGCACTGCACTGACAAATGAGCAAAAACCATCTAATTGCAGACGTGCAGACAGACTTCATTTGTGTACTTGGTTGAGTGGAGCATTGATGATACTGTAGATAAACTGCCATAAAAAGTGTGTATCAAAAACATTTTCAACAAAACAACAAAAATGCCAGCTTGAGGACCTTAGCTTTGAGGCCAAATATTTAGCATTTAACAGTAATACTGATTTATTTTGTGATCTATTGTTCTGCTCTATTGCTCATTGTTCAGTAAGCCAATGACTCATTAACAATCAAAACATACTGACTGTAAAACTACAATAATGGTGAATGCTATGGAGACAGGATATGTGGCTGTTTGCAGAGGACTTTATGTTCCCTAAAAATATGATCTGCTGATCAGCTGTGATTAATCTTGCAGTCCTTCTGACATCCATCTTTTTTCCCCCACAGTTAAAATCACATTATTCTACATCATCTTCTACGGATGTCTGGCCGGAGTTTTCATCGGGACCATCCAGGCCATGCTGCTGACTCTGAGCAGCTACAAGCCCACCTGGCAGGACCGCGTGGCCCCACCTGGTGAGACTCACACTCTCTGCACCACACTATAAATAAAGGCACAATGTAGGTTGGGTAGTCCTTAGTGAGTTTGGGTTTATGAAGATGCCAGCAAAAACAAATGCTTTGACATTTTCTTGATCTTTTATACATGTGGCAATAATTACACTGCTGAATTAGAACTGAAGCTTTTCTCAGTTGGAACGTAATACCCTTTTGCAAACAAATTTTAGAAATAATTTCAGTTTTATGCTTTTCAATATGCAAATCTGCCATGACTTTTGAGTAATCCATTTAACAACTTCATATGCTTTCTCAGGAACTATTCAAATAATTTGTAGTTTTAAAATTTGAGATGGGTGTATGAATGAAACTGACAATTGTACCCAATGAATGCATCACTTCACAACAATATGTGAAAGGTGCTGTGTTGGGATGGATAGAGATGTAAGAATTTAGCCAGTCAAAGAAACAATATTACCCATTCTAACCAAAATATGCAGACATAATGGTGGTAACACTGACACATGTGCTGTCCTTGTAGCTTATAGCATTAAAAACACATCCAGAGAGTTGTGTTGAATCTCTACTCGAGGAGCTGTCCAACATCAAATCTTGAAATCAATAGTGTGGAAGTGGCTTAATTTGGGCTCATTGTTTGACTATATGACCGCCTCAGGGCAGCAGCAGAGTTGACAGCACCATCCCTTATGTACACGCCGCCACCTGGTCGCCATGGCAATGAAGGCCAGATGGGGGTTGCTGGGACGCACTGAGCATGTGCAAATTAGTCATAGTGGATTTACTGAAGGAAGACTGGTGTTACAAGCCTGCTGTTAGACATTAGGCTCAGCTGACTTGTGCAGTGCCATTGCTAATATATTAGTGTTGGGATCAGAGCGAGAGGAGGGCTGGCTGGAGATGGACATTTTCACGCGGGTCACATGCACTCCTATGTCCAGTCTATGTGAGAGCTTACTTTAGCATCACTGGTGTGCGACAAACAAGACTCATGTGAGATACAAGGCACTGGCACCAATCTGATTATACATTGTGACAACCAGTCCAGACAGTAAACTTCACCTCAACAAGTTCAAACCACTTACCTTAACATTATTCTAAAATTCATCTATCATGATGAGAGGCAACCTGGATTAAACCTGACATCTTGAGGTACACTGTACTGATAACATACAGTTTGTCTATAATGTATTTGTTTACTTTTTGCATGTATAACGTAGGTGCCGGAAGAGACTAAAAACCCAAAAGGGCTTATATTAAAGCCTCCACGTTATGAATACATTCAAAATGGAACATTATCACTGTGCATTAAAAAAAATAATAATAATAATTTAAACACCTTGCATTAAATTCATTTGATTCAAACATGGCAGTTTTTAAATTGAATAGCATTTTTTTCTGATAAATTGTCCAACTGCAGTTAAATTTGTAATAAAAAAATTACACAATTTGGTGTCAAAACAGACTAAAGTGGACTGCTAAACTAATACAAGAGCCCGTGCATTTGTAGAGGCTGAAACTACAGTGTTGGCAAGTTAAATACATCCCATGGCGACTAATATTAGCAGAGGGCGTTATATTTCCAAGATAATTGCTGATCCTGTTTTCTTGATTTGCAGGCCTCACACACACCCCACGCTCAGACAAGGCTGAACTCTCCTTCAGCGTGAACGACGTGGAGTCCTACCTGCCCTACACCAAAGCCCTGAAGGACTTCCTGGCCAAATATGATGACGAAAAGCAGAACGACCCCACGAAGTTCGAGGACTGTGGAGGTGCGTTCAGTTCACGTTATTTGGGCTTTTGTTTAAACTGGCTAGGAAAGGAAAACAAACTGTTAAAAGTGGCATATTAGATTGATATTAGATGTTACAGGACCTGTATTATGCAATTTTTACATCTTAACTTCCCTCATCAAAACCATGCATGAAGCTCAGCTTTATTCAAGTTTTAAATAATCCAACTCATTGTTTGAAATGTTCTTTTACACCAGTCAAACCTGAAAGTGCCCAATTTTCAAGTATGAACTAGCTAACAGATTTCCTTCACTATGAAATATCTCTGAGCAATAATAATCACTGGCTGTGGTTACAGGCCCACCAAAATCTCATTAAGATTATTTAGATGACATGTAAACCACAAGTATTAGAAGTAAACAGAACATTATCAGAAAGAAATGAGATGATTTTGCTGTTAAAATGTTGTTTTTAATAATCTTGAAACTGCAGCAAACATTTCAATTTTTTTTGCTGTTTTACCAATAGAGGGCTCTGATTTTATTTATTTATTTATTTATTTATTTATTTTTAAAGACGAGTATAGCATAGCTGTGTAAATTCATCTTAAATGTCAGTAAAACCTTTTTGAAGTGGCTGTCTCTGTGTTTATCAGATGTGCCGGCAGACTTCAAGCACCGAGGGGACCTGGAGAGCGACGTGGGCACCCGCAGGGCCTGTAAGTTCCCGCGCTCTCTGCTGGGACCCTGCTCCGGGATTGAAGACCGGAACTTCGGCTTCGCCGATGGCAAACCCTGCATCATCGTCAAGCTGAACAGGATCGTCAATTTCAGGCCAAGAGTAAGCACCCTTCACCCCTCACAAGTGCACCCTCAGTGCAGGGCATGGTGGGGCTGTCGGGAAAGTAACACAGTAATCATGTTTTAAGTGGAATACAGGACCCAGGACTAAAGGGGTAGGGGGGCATGTAAGTAAGTAACTAAATAAGTATGGAGCCAATAAACCAGACTTGAGGCCATGCTGAGTGATAATGAAGTGGTTTATGGCTCCATCTAGTGGTTGTCTTTTAGTATTGTCCTTACCCAATGAGAACAACTGAATGGAGCATTATTTGGAGGTCCACAGGTTTGTCGGATAACAATTTTGATGTGTGATATATTGCTGAAGGAGATATAGTAATATTGAAACCAATTTATGCCCAAGTGCAAATCTTATCTAGTATAGAAAAGTAACAAGTAACAAAAGGTTTCCTGCTAGTACAAGGAAAAATACCCATGATAAATACTGACCCTCAAACATGATCCAATCTATTGAACTACTGAAGTCAGTAGTAGTAATTCTAGAGATCAGCCCAGAGGTGCTCGTTAATCCACAACCACAAATTGCTGGTGCACTTTAAATACAACATCTCTGTAGCACAATAACAGAGATTTAAGACCTAGTACTATCCTGACAGGTCATTTCAGCAGTTGCCAGACGTCATAGAGTTGAATTCAAACTGACTCCTGCAGGAGACACGTGTGGGGGTAAGCTGATCTGTTTTCGGGTCTGTCCTGGCTCGTGTCCTAGGTGTCCACTCCTGTTACCTCTGACGGACGTGTCACCTGGACAGAGGGAAAGAGGGGAGATGAGAGACGAGAGACAAAGCAGTGGAAAGAACTGTCAGTCCGCCTGTCAGGAGACTGCTTTCTAGTACTAGTGAATGAATACTGTGTACTGTGTCATTTCAGCCCCCTGTGTCTAATGAGAGCGTCCCGGTGGAAGCCCAGTCTAAAGTGCAGCCCTTTGTGATCCCCCTGTACTGCACCAACAAGGTACCAATCACAATGAACATGGAAACAAATTTTTTTAGTAAAAGAATGTCATTTTCATGTGCAAAATTGTAAAAGTAAAAGTAATTGTACTTTATCATAACATGACGTCTTTTATTTGTTCTGATGAAGTACAAACTAAATATCAGGACAAATACTCATATCAAAACTATTTAGGAAAGCTCGAATTTTGTCCTGTTAATGTGATTATTATTTTTTTACTTGCTCAAAGGAACATCAAAATTTTATAGTTGAAACGAAAGCTTAACAAAGTTTATTTTGGGATATTTTTTATATAAGTATGTATATTTATTTAATTTTTAAAATATAGAGATTGTAGAACAGCTGGATAGAATTTATTTTGGATACATTTATGTTTTTCTGCTTTACTTCATGTTCAGAGTATATTTTCTTCATTTTATGTTTTATACATCACAAAACTGCTCTAGCTGATATTTATTTTCAGTTTGAAAGTTTTGCGTAAATTATCAATAACAAAGTGTTTTGGGGGGGTTTTGAGAGAGAAATGCTGAATAAATGCATTGTGTAACAAAAAAAATAATCGTTTGAATAATCGTGATAATGATTTTTTCCATAATCGAGCAGCCCTACTTTTGGTATCAATTAGTAATCTGATTTGCAATACTTTGGACAACTCTACTTTATAGTACTATGACAATATAACTGCAGTTTCACGATTACACCAAATTGAATTTGCAATTTTAATGGTCCTTGACAAACTTGACAGCTAAATATTCAGTCTTCAGTCTTCAGGGTCTTTTGCATACAGCTTTTACTATATAGTAAGAAGTGAATATTTCAGCCTAATGTGATGCTCAAAAATGTTCAGTCACACCACCAAATTAATGTCTGTTTCAATTTTGTGCTGTTTTTTATGAACTTGGATGTTAGTACATACACTATAGAAAGTATACAGACTTATATCAACTATAACCTTCCCTCAACAGAAAGAAGAGGACGCTGGTAAAGTGGGCGAGATCAAGTACCACGGCATCGGCGGCGGCTTCCCTCTGCAGTACTACCCCTACTACGGCAAGCTGCTCCACCCCCAGTACCTGCAGCCTCTGGTGGCCATCCAGTTCACCAACCTGACCATGAACACGGAGCTGCGCATCGAGTGCAAGGTATACGGCCAGAACATCGACTACAATGAGAAGGACCGCTACCAGGGCCGCTTCGACATCAAGATCCAGATCAACAACCTATGACCCGGACAATAGCGCTGCAAAAATAAAAAGGCAAATTATATCAAAAAAATCATTAAAAGGGAGGTAGTAGCTGTAGCGGCTAAGTCAATCACTGAGAAATCTTTAGCTTTTAAACTCTAGCTTGTCCATTCTGGATGCTTCCAAATAGCAGTAGGCGTTTTTAGTAAAGCTGCATTCACGTGGTCCTGTGTGTTTCTTAAGAGGGGGACGAGACAAGGCTGTCCACTAACTCAGTAATTATTTATTGAACTATTTATTAACACTAAATGAAAAATCACTCCACCCCAAGCTACCTGGATGTATCCTAAACTCTCACTTTCTTTGCCAATTTGGCTTGTAGTTAGACTTTAAATCGGTAAAAGAGGACCACTTGAATGCAGCTAATATTTTCCATCTTTTAAAAACTTGTAAAGTGAATTTTAAAGTGGCGGTCAAAGATGCACAATTGATGGCTTGGTTAAAAGTGGAAGACCATGATTTGAGATGACCATGCTTGCCTTTGTTTTGTTTTGTTTTTTAGAGAAATTCCTAAAGGATTAGTGTGGGAAATAAAGCCAGCACAAGTTGAGTGGAAAAAAAAAAAGTCTTAGATTTTAGAGACAATTCTTGAAGCCATGGGACAAGTGTCATTCCATCACTTTTAAATCGCCTTGCCTTCCACACATTTTTAAAATTCCATTTCCCTTTTATTTTTGTCGCTGTGTACATAAGTACTAAGTGACCCTAACGCACACTTAACTGTTCTCCGATCTGAACAGGCTACACTCCAGGGAACAACTTCCTCATTTCTTTTCGTTTTTAATCTTTTTGTGCTATTTTAAATGATTCTTCTGCCTTGCATACACCTGGTTAGCCACACCCTCTCCGGTGCTAGCTCTTCCTTAGCTGGATTCCTCGCAGTGTCCTAACTCTGTGAATGTTTTAGCCATTAAACATGAATTTTATATTTATGCAGCTGTGTACATGTTTTTTTTTGTTCTTTTGTGATGTATAAATGCAAACCAAAGTGCTGACGATGGAGAATGGTACGTCTGACAGCGTTTCATTATTACATTCAAGTCTTAATTTCCCAGGCAATGTTGAATGTACTGCGGCAGTGGTAGATATTTCTGCACACATTAAATATATGCAAGAAGCTCTTTATGACCAATGAGAATTATGATGGCAATATCTTCCAGGATTTCATGTACATGTAAAAAGAATAAAGAGTTTCAGAATGAGCTCATTCAATTCCAAAATAAAAAACTATAAGAAATATATTTATCTGGTCTGTGCTTTATTCAGTGTAACATGAACAGATGACATCAAACTCTGTATGCATGCAATTAAAACCAGAGAGAGCTGATTTCTTTTATCTTTCTTTCATTCATGGACTCTGATCATTTCAGTGGTTAAACTGCTGAAACCTTTGTCCATGGAGATTAAGCAGGGGCAGCAACAGGCCAGTTTATAGGTTAGATCTTTGGAGAGGTGACCCCACTCACAATAAGAATGTATAAAATAAGATACCATACAGTGGAATACAATAATATGATTTCCATGGTGATGACTATGTAGCGTACCTTTTCCAGAAATATTCAAATGCATCTTTAAAGGAGTTTGTCTAATGTTCAGGGGAAGGAGGAAGTACCTCAGGTTGGGCACGTGTCTCTTTAATTACAGCGTGGAGCGAACAGGAGTGTGGTTTCAGACCTGGTGTTGGGTGTCTGTCCGGGACAACTCTATGGACTCGGGCTCTTAGGAGGTACCCCGGGGCCTTTCAGCAGCTGCTGTTACTCTCTCATTACTACGACACTGGCTGGGTGAACTATTGATTAAAGGCACTGTCCAAGCCAAGAATCAAACTCTTGTTAATGGAATGCGGTCGTGCCAAGTCGGCTGATAGACAATCTCTCTGAGTAGAGTGTGTAATGTGGCTCCTCCAGTCCAAAGAATTAGATCATGAAGTTAGAGCCTAGAGTAAATGAATGTGTCTTCCAGTGTATGTATTTCCAGTATTAAAATGCACTGCACTTCATTCAAATAAGTTTAGTTTGTCCTACAAAATTACTTGACTTAGAAATACATGTTATTTCAGATTCTAGAGCTGCAACTAGTAGTCAGCAATTATTTTTTGATTAGTCAAACAATAGTTTCTATTGTAAATTTTGAAACACATTTATAACCAGGTAAAGGTGGAAATATGGTGTGAAAGAATTTCTGTGTTATTTTAAATATTATGAATCATTTAAAATCATAATCATTTGTGTGTGTGATTAAAGTTATCAACAATTGCGTTTTTGGGTTTTTCCTTATGTATATCATATGTCCTAGTACAAGAACTCCTGACTCATTAAGCTAATCTACTGAGTCACCCATGAGAAGACAGCTAAGGGTTTTTCCCCTCATGTGGTTTAGCCTAAAGATTGTTAGTATGTGATCATTGTAACCATTGCGTGATATAACATAATGTACTGTATTGTTATCTGTGAAATGACTGCAATAAAACCTGCTGTTGGGGAGTAGCTGTCAGAAGAGGGTCAGACAGTGTTCGGACAGCTCTCTCCTTGCGCAAGTAAAAACTAAGCCGTCTCGTTTTGGTGTGTCTTATTTAATGTAATTTGATGTCTTAGGGTAAATTCCCTGACATTTACTTGGTCCTTCGGAGCCGGATTCCAGGTTCAGCTCGGGGGAGGGGTGATCACCGTGGACTGCAAGTCTGTGCGCACAGCCGAGGTGAGAAATAGCTGCCTCGACTAAGACCACTTTTCCCGTGGCCAGTACACGGAGATCATCCTTCGCTGGTGCTGCCGACGGAATTCGAACGAAGAACACCAGAACGACAAGAGTGAAGTAGACAAATCTTCATTCTGTTGAGACTAGGCAAGAGGTCGCGGAGACCCCAGTTAGTAAAGTAGCTCTAACTGAAACAGAGTAGTACAGTATCCGCAGGAGACTGTGGCAGTCGATGACTATTGTTAAGATAAGGTGCTTTCTTAACTGGATGACTGTAGTGAAATGTTTTTAAGCCCGGTCAAAAGTACGTGGTTGGAATAAGGTGATTTTCTGACTGAATGAAGTAAGGGTCGACCAAGCAGATAGGAAAACCTAGGGACGACTGACAGACCTTGTTTTGGACTAATTTTTTTTTTTACTAACCCGCCATAGTGTCTACAAGTGGGGGACTGAAATTGTATAACGACGGTGAGATATACACCCAGGTTCAAGCCGCTCCGTAAAAAGAGTAGAAGCTTGCTTGAACAGTTGTTATACAAAAAACTGTTGTACATCCTTCATTTGTACTCAGGACGGCACATAGTCCAAACTAACATGGACGAAAAAGTAGTACTCAAAAAACAGAAGGAGTTGGTTAAACATATGGAAAAAGAGTTTCCAGATAGCACGAAATACCTAGAAAAATGGCAGAAAAGATATGGGTTTAAACCTACACTTGAGAAAGAGCAACTTGATGAACTGATAAATCAGCTATTGATACACAACAAGCAGAAAAATAGAAACAGGGAGAAAGGCGCAGCAGCCCAGCATCCTCCCTCTACTGCGCCTCGATTAGTCCCAGACCAAGGACGGGAAGAGAGTAAGAGAACAGAAACCGAGGCAATAGTTCTAGTTAAAAAAAAAACTGACCCCTCCATAGGCTGGAGGATAGTGAAAGATCTAAGAGCAGATCCGAAGTAAAATACTTAGGACATAACTTAACCGCTCAAGGGAGAATTGCTAGCTCTGATAGGAAGTTAACAATAAAAAAATCCAAAACCTATCACTAATAAATTATGGCTTTTCTAGGATTGTGTAACAGCTACAGAGCTTGATTACTGGATTACGCCCTCCTAGCAAAGCCACTTCAAGACTTGATTTTTCCTGAACCTAGGGAAATGAATCACAAAGTAACTTGAACAGATGAGGCAAATTTGGCATTCAAAAAAATATATATAAAAAGTGACCTAATGAAGTCAACTGTATTGGCATTACAAGATTACACTAAACTTGAGTGATACTGTGTCTTTTTCAAAATTTGGTACAGACCAAAATACTAAGGCAGCGCAGCGAGTGATAAAAGACAATACTAATATCGTTATATTACCCAAAAATAAAGATGTTAACATACAAACGGGTAATGTACTGTCATCACAAAATAAAAACAATAAAGTTGGCAAAAGAGTGCATGCAGACGGGGAATCTGTGCCAAACGTCAAGGTTAGAGATACGTTGCTGCTAGGAGACGGGGCTATCAGTGGTGTAAGGCACAGAAGAATCCTAACATGCTGCTACCCCACGTACACTGTTTACTCCTGCCAAAAGTTTTTTGTCAACACACCAAGGGGTCAGCAGTGGACCTCTACCCAACATAGGCCTAAGGTAGAGGGACAAATTTACCCGATTGCTTCAGCTGAAAAATGAATATTGCATGTTAAAAAATATCTGGAAGAGAAATTTTGACTATACTTTATGTAACGTTAGTTTCGAGGCTCGGCTAAGGGTGTTAAAATAGGAAACATAAAAAGTTCATTAAAGGAGCACAGGTTATAATAACAACCAGCAGTCAAAAATGTTGATTATTATAAATGTATTAAAAGTAAAATGAGAGACAAAGATAAATTATGAGATTATAAAGCACAAAAGTTAAAGTAACAAATAAATAAATAAAGTAGAGTCTATGAACAAAAGTAGTTAATTTTCAGTTGTTTTATTATAAACTACAGTTTGAAGACAGTTTGTACAAATCCCAGGTCCAATAATTCAAAACAAATTGTCTGTCCCACCGCACAGACTCTTAGCTCATTATCTGGAAGTTTGTTGAGTTGAGGTTGTTTTTCAAATCACAGAATCAGTCCGTGGGAAATCTGACCTAGGAAGCCAGAAACACAAATAAGTATATCGTTCAAAATAATTACCTTAGTTAAGCCAATGATGTTCATTATGTCTTCTTATATACTTTAACTTCTTAGGTTCTTTTTAAAGACAATGCAGTAAAGTGTATTTACCTTGTTGACATGTTTCGGCTGCTGCAAGCCATCTTCAGAACTGTCACCGGTGTTGGTGGTGACGTGTCGTATATCAGCTGCTGTTACTTCCTGTGGGCGTGGTCAGCCTGATGGACCTGGCAGGTCGCTCAGACTGACCACGCCTCCCGTCGCCCGGTGTCTCTGGAGGAGGGTGTCCCAGGTGTGTGAAAGGAGGAACGCTCCGTCATCACGGTTAATGCTGTCCGTGCCTCGCTTTCTGATTTCAATGGCCTCCTTGATCCAGCGTTTGAACTTGTTGTTTTCCGATCCAATGATCCGAGCCCCGTCCCAATCCATAATGTGGTTGTTCCTTTTACAGTGTCTGATATGGCGGATTTTAGGTTTTCCTGTTCTGCTTTGTCTTTTTGTGTTCTGGTGAGTCTCCCTGACGTTTCCTTCTCGCATTCCTTTTGGTGTTCCTTTTTTCGGATGTGAAATGCCCGGCCTGTTTCCCCTATGTATGATTTATTGCATGATTTGCATTGGATTTCGTAGATGGCATTGCATTTTTGTTCTTGTGGGATTTTGTCCTTGGGATGTACGAGTTGTTGGCGGAGTTTTGTGTGTGGTTTTACTACAGTGCTTATGTTGTGTTTTTTCATGGCTCTCTGGATGGGTTCGGTTATGCCTCTGATGTATGGTAGTGTGACTATGTTCTTGTGGTCCTGCTGCCCTGTGTTGCATTGTTGTGTTTTTTTCCGGGGTTTGTTGGTTTTGTTGATAACTTGTTGTCTGCCTTTGTTTATGGCCCAGCTGGGATACTGACATTGTTTGAGTGCTTGTATGATGTGTCTCTCCTCTTCCTCCCTGTCGGTGTGGTCTGTGATGAGTGTGGCCCGTTCGAATAGTGTTCTTACTACTGAAAGTTTGTGTGCAGTGGGATGTTGGGATGTCCAGAGCAGATATTGGTCAGTGTGTGTAGGTTTCCGGTATACAGTCATTTTGATGCTGCCGTCTGCAATGTGGTGGATTTTAATGTCCAGAAAAGATATGGCTCCGTCTTTCTCCTCCTCGTGTGTGAATTGAATATTACCTGTGTCGTCTTGTGTGTTGAGATGGTCCGTGAGTTCTTGTGTGTGTCCTTGTTGTATTTTCTCCAGGATGTCATCTACGTAGCGTTTCCAAAAGGTTAAACGGCATTGTGGTGGTGCGGTGTTGAAAGCTTTTTGTTCCAGGTCCTCCATGAAAAAACTGCTCATTATTGCTGATAGTGGATCTCCCATTGCGAACCCCTCTTTCTGTCTGTAAATTATG